CCGTCAATCCCCTGAACAAGCCCTTGTGCCCTTCTGTTTGATAGATGGTCTTCAGGGCGCCATGGATGCTCTCATAGCCATACTGCCCACTCTACAAAGTAAATGGAATTTCCACACAGGAAATTCCCTACCCCATTTCTAAAAACCAACAAATAAAATAAACCAAAACTGCAGAAGAGGTGTTTGTATTTTAAAGGAGAAATTTAATCTAAAGGAATTTTTTATTATTGAAATGTATGGGGGAGGTATTTTCAAGGAGAAAGGACCTTCCTGTAAATCTTTGCCTACTCCAAGCCCACCCACACATATTTGTAATGGATGAGGAGTCAGAAATGTGGCTAATTTCAGAGATAATTGAAGATTATCACCCCTTCATACTCCAATGGCAAATTCTACCATACAAAGAAAACAGGTAAAGATACAATTCTACAAATCAAAAGCTTCCCTTCCTATTCCCTAACCCTTATCCCATATACAACTAGTAACTAAATCCTTTCCTTCTTGTATTGGTTCCTTCTTTTCTGGTACAGTTGTCCCAATTACTAACACCTTAGATTAGGCCTGGTTGTAACTTCTGTATAATATTTTAACTCTCAGAACATATCTTTCTCCATTTGCCTGGACACTCAATACCTTTGTGGCTATGGAGAACCTCATTACCTTGGTTAGCGAATTTTCTCATTTGTAAAAACCAGATATGGTAACAACACCTAACTCACAGGCTGGCTGTAAAGATTAAATGAGCTGCTGTATCAAAAAGTCTTGGCAAACCATAGCAACGACTAAGATTTATATAGTGTTTACTATGTGCTAAGCTCTTTACAAATATCTCATTTGAACCTTACATCAACTCTGGAAGGTAGGTGGCACTATTATCCCCATTTTACACATGAGGAAACTGAGGCGAACACAGGTTTAAGTGACTTACCCATGATCACACAGCTAGGAAGTTTCTGAGGGCAGATTGGAATTCCGATTTTCCTGACTCCAGGCCTGGTGCTCTATCCACTGCTCTGCCTCACGGTCCAACAAAATGCCATATCAATGTTAGCTATCAGGCTTTCCTCACCCCCTCATTAGTGTCATTTCTCTAAGATTACATTCCATTTGCTGTCTCCCCTATTCTTTCCCTCTCCCTCCTTCCCTCCCTTTCTCTCCTTTTCCTTTCTCCCTCTCTCCTTCACTCCTCCCTCCTTCCCCTTCATCCTGCCTCCTCATCCTCCATTACCCACATATGTGTGTGTTTACCCACACATACACATACACACACACACACTCAGATATATATATATATATATACACATATATATATTTATATATATATTAGGGTATCTCAAAAGTCTTAGTGTAGTTTTAAGGTTTAACATACACACTCTGTGTGTATATATGTGCATGTGTGTATAAATATGTGTGTATGTGTACATATATATACCCACATGTATAGATACAAACGTATCTATACAACATGGACATTTACTCGTCTCTCTTATTAAACTTTGAGTTCCTTGACTTCAAAGACTGTTTTTGCCCTTCTCTGTTTCCTCCTGTGGCAAGTAGAATCTGAAATGTCCGAGGAAGCAAAGGTTTGTCAAAGGCCCAGGAGCAGGTCTCTGCTCAGTGGGTGGCTGGAGCCAAACAAAGCAGGCCAGAGCCGGGAGAGTCAGGAGTCAAACAAAAGTTTAATTTCAGAGTGAGGAAAACAGGTTTGCAAACCAAAGACCTCCTGAGAAGGAGAGCTTGTGATTTGTGGCAGGGGTAGGGTTTTTAAGCATGAAACCCACAAAAAGGCAGGACCCAACACAATCATTCTTAGGTCTTGAGTAAACAATTCCCCCGGCAATCCCTCACGTGCAGGCATCTTTGGACCATCACAAGAGTTCTTGGGTCCTGTGGGAATAGTCTCTAAGCTCCTCAGGGTCTTTGAAGCTTGTGATTATTTTGCAGGGTACAGAATCAGAGTTAGCACGGCAGGAACAGGAGTGCAGCATCTGGTTCAGTTCGCTTAGCAATTACAAGTGCAGGGACTGGCCAGAGTGTCAAGAGATGGGATTGACTGCTTTCTGCTCTAGCACGTTAGCTGCTTCTGGCTCTCAGGTCCTTGGGAAATAGGAAAGCTCCAACAAATCTAAATAGTTATCAATTAATATGAAAATCATAAATCCCTCAGAGAACACCTGGTGCTGATCAAAGCAATGCATTTTGCCAGAGGGCGAGATCATCCAGACCGTGAGTGCAAAAGATTGTTGTTGTGCCAAGCTCAGGGCACAGCCTGCTTGCCGGGCCTTACCTCTGGAAAACAGAGTGCCTCTAAATGTCTTGACAGATTTCACTTTTTTTTAAGTTCAAGTAGTAAATAAACCACTTTTAAAACATCTTAGAAACATGAAATACATTTAAAAATTAGAGAAATTCATCTTTTCACAGAAAGAACTCTTAAGATGAGGCCTCTGTCTATAGTTCACGTCTGTTCTTACTCCTATCTACATTCTAGGATTTGTACAGTCCTAGAAAACTCCACAGCAGATTCCAACCAATATATGTAAGAGCCAGTGTTTTATACAGTGAATAGCACAATGCTAATGCATGAACAAGTTGTTCTGTAATTAAAACCCTCCACCTCTGCCTCCAGGTGTCAAAAATACACAGCTTTGGTGAGAGTGGACTCTGTGACCAGTACTACTTTGACAGGATTCCTACCCATGTTAAAGTCTGCGTGCGCCACTCTGTTGTTCACCTACAAGATAAGAAACAGAAATTATACAAAGGAGTGAGCAAAATTTAATTCAACAATTAGATAGCTGAGCTTCTGAAGGGCAGGGCTGGCTTTAGCCTCCTTTTGTATCTCCAAAGTTTAGTTAGATGTCTGGCATATGGGAGGTGCTTAATGAATGTTTCATGATTACTAAACAAGTATTTATTAAGCATTCAGTGTGCTGTAAGCAACATTTTAGGCAAGGGGGAAAGAAAGACCAAAAAGAAACAGTGCCTAGGGGTAGCTAGGTGGCACAGTGGATAGAGCACCGGCCCTGATGTCAGGAAGACCTGAGTTCAAATCCAGCCTCATACTGAACACTTGTCACTTACTAGCTATGTGACCCTGGGCAAGTCACTTAACCCCAATTGCCTAAAAACTAAAAAAAAAAAAAGCAAAAAAAAAACAGTGCCTGCCCTTAACGAGTCAATGTACAATATGCACATTGATAAATATATACAGAGTATAGACAAAATAATGACAAAGTAATGGCAGAGGGGAGAGATTAAGGCAGCTAAGAACCCAGTAGATTAGGCAAAAACCTTCGTATAGGAAGTAACCCAAAGCTTAAACTAGTAGAAGAGCTAGAGATTCCAAGAGGAGGAAGTGAGGAGAGAGTGAAATCCAGGCACTGGACAAAGACAGGATCTGAGGCTGCAGAACCAGAGAGTAGGCCAGTTTGGCTGAAATGCAGAGTGTGTGCATGTGTGCATGTAGCTAGCCAGATTGTAAAGGATTTTAAAAGTCAAACAAAGCAATAGTGAGCCATCGTAATTTCTTGAGCAGGGGAATGACATGGTGAAATTGATGCTTCAGGAAGATTACCGTGGTGACTATGTAGAAGATGGACTAGAAAGTGGGACACCACTTGGGGTACTGCTGCCTCCTGCCATGGTCTGCCTGTAGCATGAGTGGACAGAAGAGGACACATGCTAGACATGTCGTCCTACCAACCCACCATCTTGATTTGAAGCCTGGGAGGGTTTCCTGGAGTTGTCTGGGAGGGGACAATTTTTCTGTAGAGCACAATAGCAATGGAAAGTATTATTACAGTGATGAAGATGAAGAAGATATTTATAATAAACGTGACACTAATTTCCTTTTATTCAGCCCAAAGAACATGGGGGCTGAGTGGTTCTTCCTACTTCCAGGCTGATCCACTCTCATTACTGGACAATAACTTAAAAATGATGGGAAAGAGGGGAGTGAACGAACATCTCAGCCCCTTCTTTACTAAAAAAAAACAATAGCAGCACAATCCTGCCCTAAGAGAAGTTTAACATCTACCAAGTAAGTAAAACAACCATGAGAAAAGATTTCAGAGAAAGAAGACATCATCTCAGGCAGAGACAGACTTCAGGTAAGAGTGTAGGCACCCAGCCCACATGCACACACACATACACAAATCCTACTTAGAGAATTCCAAGGAATGTCCTGATAAAATGAAATAAATGCTTGTTAACAAGTGGAAGAAAAATAGCATAACATGGATCTTGAATCCATTTACTGATAACTTACTTGAGTAAAAAAATCCACAATATGCAACTTCTTGCCATGTTTCCGAAAGACTTCATCTATCGCTTGAATCATCACAGAACCATTCATTGAGTGGCGTAAAGAGATGTGATCTACCAGTGGAGAAATGAGAAAAAAAAGTTTATGTTTTGACTAAAGGGTTCTAAAAGTACACACACACACTTTAGAAGCTAGAAAAAGCGTTCCTTAAGCAAGATACTTCTTTGTTCTATAAACACGAGGACATGATTACATTTTCATTAAATTGCCCAGGATGTGCACTTTTGCTGCCTCCCAAATCTCTTGGGCCCTTAACCCTAGCAGTCCACTAACTAGGCCGTCACAATGCCAAGGCCATAAAGAATCCGTGGCAGATGAGGTCAGTAACTAATTTAAAGTGGGCCAAGAACTAGGAAAAGCTTCTCACTGTCCAGCAAAACAGTCTAAAGGATACCAGATACTATCTGAAGCCTAGATTATGTTTTCCCAGTGATGCTTCAGTCAAGAACTTGCAACTTTCAGAGTCTCCAAGAGACCCTGTAAAGTAACTGGCCAGTCCCTTAGAGCATCCTGCTCATAGTTAGAAGAATGTCTCATACGTTTTCAAGGATATGGTCAGTCAGCCTTCACCTAAAGACTTCAAGTAAGGGAAAATCTACTATCTACCAAGGTAGCCAATTCCACTTTGCACAGCAATAATTTTTTGGTGAGCTTTACTGACAGTAATCCCAAATATGGCTGTCTGCACTTTCTACTCTATTCAGTTGGTCCTAGTGGGGCTTGATTGGGAAGTTTTCCCATCAGCAAACCTATACCTGCTCCTCTGCAGCTTTCACCCCCTCTTCCTATTTCTGACCTTAAGGGCCAAGCCAAAATACATGGAATCACTCTTAAATATGGTAATCCTTCAAATGCTTGACAACAGTTACCATGTGACCCCTAACCTTCTTTTATTTATTCTTTGTTGTTGTTGTTTTGGTTTTTTTGCTAGGCAATGGGGTTAAGTCACTTGCCCAAGGTCACACAGCTAGTAAGTGTCAAGTGATTGTTCTGAGTCCGGATTTGAACTCAGGTCCTTCTGACTCCAGGGCCAGTGCTCTATCCACTGCAGCACCTAGCTGCCCCCCAACCTTCTGTTGTCCAAACTAAACATCCCTTAACAATCTCCAAACCACATCACCATTCTAGTCACCCTACTCCTATTTGTTCCAGTTTATCAATGTCTTTCCTAAAATGAGGTCGTTGCTGTTGAGTTGTTCTAGTCCTGTCTGGACCCCACTGGGGTTTTATTGCCATAGATACTGGAGTGATTTGCCATTTCCTTCAATTCATTTTACAGATGAGGAAACAGAGGCAAACAGGATTAAGTGATTTGCCCAGGTTCACATACTTAGTAAGTGTCTGAGGTCAGATTTGAACTCAGAAGATGAGTCCTCCTGACAGGGTTGCAATCTGTTTACTATGGCGCCACCTAGTGGCCTGTTGAGGTACTGAATATTGAATACAATATTCCAGCTGTGGTCTCACCATGACAGAGGACATTGGGATCATCAGCCAATTGCTGAACATATTCTCTTAATGCATTTTCTCTCTACCATAACATACAATGTTGATTTATGTTTGGCATGTAGTCTTAGGTATTTTTTCAAACGTATTGTTCTCTAATCATATCTCCCTTATATTTTAATTATGTAGTTGATTTAAGACTTTGTATTTATCCCTGTTAAGTTACATCTTACTAAATTTTGACTAAAATTCTAGCCTGTTGAGATCTTTCTAGATTATGATTCTGACATCCAACTTAGTAGCTCTCTCAGGTTGGTGTCATCTGACAATTTTATAATTATACCATTTTGCTTTCATCTAAGTAAGGGCTTAGAGTCTGCCTACTTACATGTGGTTGACCAGAAGGCCAACATCTTAGTGTGTTGAATCAGTTGTACATTATGAAAGATGTTGTGTGGAATTAGTCATTTCACTGTTTGATGATCTATGTTTACATGGTGATGAACAAGAATAGTTTTATGACAAATATGAAACGTAATTAAGCACAACTGGATTTTGAACAATCATGATCACTTTCACTTAACATGCCTTAGCAGCATATCAATTCATTGCCTTACCTTCTTGGGTGGGATAGATGATATAGTAATCACTGGATGTGGGAAGTCGCTTTTTCTTTGAACTATCCTGTTTCGTTGATAGATTATCAGCTTGAATAACACCACTATCTCTTCTTTCTGTTTTTGTGAGAGAAGATGTGAATAGACAGTGGAATAAACAATCTGATACTAAGGCCAAATGAAACTGTCAGGAATGAGCACCTGTCCCTGTGTGAAGATTACAATTGTCCAATCCACAATAAGAGTCAGAGGCAGAGCTTTGAGCCAATGGCACTTTATTAAATGGTCCATGGTCCATTTTTATCAAGTGGATGCTTCTTCCAGGGCCTTGACAAATTTATAACGTTTGATACCAGATTTATTACCTGAACATTTTAAAGCAGCTAAACAAAATACAGCATCGCATTGGTTCACATATGACGCATAAAGTAAAATAAGCAAAAAATGGTATATCAGTAGGGTCACAAGTTGGAAGAAGCAAGGAATATCTCCACTCACTAGATGCTCACAAGATGGTCGCTTGCTCATATTGGACAAGAGAGTGGTCTGGAGGTAAAAATAAATAAATAAATAAAACACGTTGGAGGACTTTCCATGTAATTGAGTCACCTCCACCACACTGGGCTTGATCCCCATGACAAGGAAAAACAGGGTAGAAGGCCTCTAATTGGCTTCCTGTGATTAAGCAAGTGAATTTACAATAGGCAGCTCACAGCCCTGCAGCCTCAGATACAGAACTTATGATCACCAGCCCTATAAGATAACATCAAATTGATTAAACTGTTTGGAATAGAGTAGGGGTCCAAATAAACTATTTCTCTCAAGTGCATATACATTGGAGAGGGTAGTTCACAATTATAGGCCCCAATAGCTCCAGAAAAGCTAGACAAGCCAGATCCCATTTTAAGGAGAAAACTGCATACTTATCAACAGTAACATTCCTCAGAATTGGTAGGCCACGGGCGAGCAATTTCATCATGTTATAGGCTAGTAGGATCATAGCATCATAGATTTATGGCTAAAAGGGAACTTAGAGATAATCCAGCCCAATCCATCATTTTACAAATAAGAAAACCAAGCCCCAGAGAGGTTACATGACTTGCCCAAAGTCACAGAGGGAGTTAGCATGAACAATACATGTAAAGCACATGGTAAGCCTCATCTCTATAAAAATGCTGGTTATTCCTAGCAGCATTTTAAATGACAGAACGAGGATTCAAACCCAGGTCCTCTGCCTTCAATTAGAGTACCTCATCCACTGTATTTCACTCGATCCTGAGAAATCACAGGAAATTATCCCACAGTGAGTGAGGAAGAGAGGGATGCAGGGGAACACCCATAAAAAGGTGGAAGAGGGAATATCACAGTGGAGAAAGCACAAAACCTTGGATTTATAAATGCTAAGATCTTTTTTTTTTTTTTTTGGTGAAGCAATTGGGGTTAAGTGACTTGCCCGTAGTCACAAGGCTAGTGAGTGTGATGTGTCGGAGGCCACATTTGAACTCAGGTCCTCCTGACTCCAGGGCCAGTGCTCTATCTACTGTGACACCTAGCTCCCCCTATAAATACTAAGATCTTGAATCCACTTACTTTAAAGGACCTAAGATACTCTAAGCTGTGAGTTCTTAATATTCTGGCACTTTGGGGCTGGAAATATACATAATTTGATATCTTTATAGATGTCAAGGGGCAGCTAATGAGTATTTTTTCTTGTGATATGATGAGAAGCAGCAGAGAAAGGAAAATCTTTTGGGATGAAAATCAGGGTCAGAATTTCCTAGAGAGAAGGAGAAAATACTTACAGTGAAGCCTAAGAATTCCCTGTCACTCATGATGTGTTCTTTTTCCTTCTACTTACCTCCTCTACAAGCCTGGATTACAAAGAGTTTTGGTTTCTCTTGAAGGGCTGGACAGTTTTCATTGTTGAACATTTCAAATATGTCTGTTAAGTTGACTCTTTCATCGAATACTGTGTTGATAAAGCCTTTTCCTCCATGGGCCATGAGAGTAACAAGGCAGCAGCTAACATCATCTTTTATTCCATTTAGTCCATCTCGAAACTCTGTTAATTTCTCCATTAACTCCTGTGGCAAATGGCATTGCAAAATGGATTTATTCAGAGGGTGGACTTATAACATTTGTATTTTTTACATTAATTCTCAGAATTCCCTCATTTTGCACAGGTTGTGATACTGGTTGCTTATCTTCTAACATAAAATATAGACCCTCAAAAGGAAGTGAGTGTCTAAGATGGCATCATCATCATTTTTGCAGGTAATTTTGAAAAGAAACCTGGCCCTCAGGAAGACAGAAGGTTTAAGAAGCAAGAGAAAATTGGAAGAGTAAAACATTTTGTTTTATTACAACTGGGACTCTGGGATTATTTTATATGATTGCATATAGCATCTAATATAAATTTCATCATGAATTTTCAAGTTACATGTGGGAAATCCAATCTCCAAATTCTGTTTACAAAAATAAAATTGAATGAATGAATGAATGGACTAAAATCTAATATTAATTATTGTTGAGAGTCATGGAACCAGTGATGGCCCCCAGGGCAAAGGGATTGACTTCCCTGGGCTGTTTTTCCCAGTCAGGAAGGGTATCAGCCAGGGTAATGGGGAACAAGAGGGAGACAACCGGAGGGGGGACTCTGTAGTGACCCGTCCTCCTGGCCATGAATCTCAAATTCTACTCAGCTCTATAAACCTGGTAGAATCAAAGCAACTAACGGAGCATTCATTTTCTAGAAACAGAAAGGCTTTCCTTTACAGGAGAAGGTAGGAAAATAATAGGCTCTCTAGGCCCTCAAATACCACTGAAATACTTAAAAGGCTTAAAAAGTCCATGAGGATGCAGTTAAATTCATTAACTCCCTGACACTGGTCCCTCAATGGCAGTAGTGTGATGCTTTTATCAGGGTTTAGAAAGGAAGGAGACTTTGCTGCTCAGATAGTATTCATGATGACCTCATGAAAAAGGAAGAGGCTGTAAAAGTCAGTTATCAATGTTGTCTCAATGCTTACCTTTTCATCAGGATCAATGCATGATATACATTCAAACTTGCACTCTTCAAGCCAATTTCTTATCATATTTATATCCTGCTCGGCCCCTGGTCTGCCTGTCTTCACACACATCACAAAAGCCTTACGAGTTTGTTCCATGTTATAGCATTCCTGTTTGTAAGTAAAATTAATAAGCACAATTTAATCCCAGATATCAGAGAACATAACACCCTAGACATATTGGCCCACATGCTGCCTGTCCACCTCCTGGGGTCAGGGATGGGGTTTACCTGAGAGCTCAAACTAACCATCTCTCTTTGGAGTAGGAGTGTGTGTGTGTGTGTGTGTGTGTGTGT